GCTGTATCAACTATACCACAGAAGTGTAGTTAACAGCATTTGTGAAATATCTGTAAAAAGGGCTGGGGCTCAGCAGTACTGTGTGACTGCCAGAACAGTTAATGCATTTCAACTGCAGTATTCAGGAAAAGGGAAGTATTCGCCATTCTATTCTCTTTTGGTTAGTCCAAACCTAGAAGATTGCAGGGTACCATACTAAAAAGGTACCCTTTCATCTCCATCATCATCAAGAAGTAGCTATAGCTGAGTTTTAATCTAAACTCTTAAATGGGAAGCCAACCTCACATTGACCATGCCTAGCAGTAAGTTGGTGACTACAAGACACAGAAATCTACATAGGAATCTGCAAAGTAATACAACTCTAGTTGTCCCTGTGGATCTGATACTACGTTTGCTTTGTTCAGTTGTCTTTTTGAGGTAGTTCTAGAAGATAATTTTAATTATTATAGTTGGTTTCATTACATTGTTGACATTGAAAATGTGCTAGAACCACAACAGCAAGTCATCCTAAATAATAAAATGTGTAATTTTTACTGAAAGAAAAAGTTCATAAAATTTGTTTTTAGAAAAGCAGGCCAGGTTTGAGATTTAGTGTAAAAATCTAAGAAGAACTAACCTTTGAAACACCCAATTTCAAGTGAATTTTGTTTTCATGAATTGTGAATTGATAATAATTTAAAACACTGAAAACAAATCTGAGCATGTACAATCAAGTCTAAAAGAAATATTTACAGCTTTTCCTGACAGAGTGATACTCCATTGAGTAAACATGCAAGGTGCAATCACAATTCATTTTGAAATCTGTCCCTTTTTTTTTTTTTTTTTTAATACATCTATGGAGAATTCTAAAAACATTTGCAATTAATTTATATGAACTAAAAAATTGGTGGCTTTCTCTGCAGGCTGCCAAAAGCCATTGAGTGGTGGAGAAGTGGGGCAGCTTAAAGGGCTCAGCGTGAGAATCTCTACAACTAATCCAGTTTTGTCCTTGTAACAGCACATCTTGCAGGCATGAATTAACCACCCTCTGGGTGCCACAGTTTTCTTCTTCATGGTTATGTTTTCATCGGGTTCCTACCAGTCAACCTGAAAGGGTTGATACCATTTTCTCTCTGGAATATTAACCAGCCATTGAATCAACTATTCAAATTACTGCATCCTGCCCTTAGAATATTGTCAGGGGGTGGGGAGACAAAAGTTTATAAACTTGGTTTTCCTGTTACATAGATCTTTATATCTTACTGATAATTTATGTTTGTTAGGGGTTGGGGTTATTTGCTGCAGGGAAGAAGGAATATTCATGTTGTTAGTTGCCATTGAGTCAATTCTGACTCATGGTAGCCTGAATAACTATTTTGTAGAACTGATGAAAACTATTTGGGGCTATTGCATAGATTTTAATTTAATTTGATTTAAGCAAATAGATTGAATAATTATTTGTAAATATTCTTTACTTGGGCTACAATTCAGTCAACTTTCCTCAGTTCTATGTTTTTCATGTGTTGACTAGTCAGAAACTAAATTAAGATGTCTCAGGTCATTTTAAATACAACATTCATAAAGCAAAGAAAAATTTTTCTCAACTACAAGCATTTTAGAGTTTAGGTTATCATTTAAAGTAATTTGTCCACATATCTTAAAATAAAAGATATAAGAGTAATTCATATTGTTATTAAATAGTATTGTTACAGTTGCTGAATAGTATTTATTGCTATCAGTAAACCAGGAGTCACCTTTTACTCAGCTTACTATGCTCATTCCCTCACAATTGATATCTATCCATTCTGCAAGTATGTGAATTCTGCCTTAAAAATATATCCAAAAACCCACTTCTCACCACATAGTGTAGGAGTGAAGAACAAAGCCTCTAGAATCAACTCTGGTTTCATTCCTGGGTCTACCACTTACTAACTGTGAGACCTTGGGCAAGTTAGTGTCTGTACCTTTGTTTCCTTCTCTATAAAATGAAAGTAATAGCAATGATCTACATATTATACCTACTGTTAGCATTATATGACAATTAAAAAAAAAAAAACAGTGACTGACACATAGTGCTTTATGAGGAGGCCTGATGACAGTGGTTAAGTGCTCAGCTGCTGACCAAAAGGTTGACAGTTCAAACCCACCAGTTGCTCCATGAGAGAAAGATGTTGCCTGCTTCTGTAAAGATTTACAGCCTTGGAAACCCAGTGGAGCAGTTTTCCCCTGCCTAGAAGTTCGCTGTGAAATTGATAGTCAAAATCAACTTGATGTCAATGGGTTTAATGAGTATTAGCCATCATTATTATTATTATCATTAATTATCACACAGTCTAAGTCAAGGCCACTGTTTAAAGATGACTTTAAGATATACATCAGATCACATTACTCTCCTGCTGCAAAACCTCTAGTACTTTACAATTTACTCAGAATAGAATTCCAGAGTCCCTTCTATAGTGGCTCTGCTGGTCTTTCCTACTTCATCTCCAGCCATTCTCTCTAGGCATAGAGCCTTTGTTCCTGCTTGAACTAGTCCCTGCTCTGCCTCACCTCCAGTCATTTTAATAGCTTTATCCTGCTGTAAGTCTCTTCATAGCACTCTCTACAACTAGACTTTAAGCTCCATAAGGGCAGGAACTTCAACTGTCTTGTTTTATCATTGTTTTGCCAGGACCTGTTACAGTCCAATACATGGTAGTTGCTTGATATATATTTGTTGAATGAATTAATCAATGAAACAAACAGTATAGTTTACAAATATACTCCAATTCTGATGCTATTTGTGTTCCCAAGTGTATAAAATGAAAAGCTTACATAAATATTATCAAAGTAAAGTTAAATTCAGTAAAACATCATCAAAAGTTTCTTTGGGGTTTTATGAAAATGGCATAGTGGAAGAAAGCAGTGAGCAGAGAGTGAAAATATTGGGTCCTGGTTCAAGTTCTGCCACTGCAAGATCTCTTGAACACTTGCTTCCCCAACTATCAAATGCAGGCAGACCTAGATCGACATCTCTGGCACTTTTACTAAAGCAACTTTCTTTATATGTTGAAGTTTCATATTAAATTTGGTTTGACAAAAGAGCCTGCTTTTTAAAAGTTTTAAAACCACTGAATTAGAATAGCACAGATGTTATTTTTAGCTCAGTGATTCTGGATATGCTTCCTTAACTATTGAAAGAGGTTTTTTTTTTCCCTCTCTCTCTCTTCATTCTCCTCACCCCAAAGAAAAGTTCACTGAATACTTCTTTTTCAAAATATCTTAAAGAGAATTATGATATATAGATTTATGATAAAATTGTCATCACTGGGATTGTGAGCTACATTGGAGCAAAGACCATAGGTCTGCCCACCACTGATATACCATCACCTAGCACAGTTCCTGAAGTAGAGCTTCCAAACCCATGGCTATCAAATCGATTCCAACTCATAGTGACCCTATAGGACAGATTAGAACTTCCCTGTAGGGTTTCCGAGGTTGTAAATCTTTACAGAAGCAGACTGCCTCATCTTTCTCATCTGGAGCAGCTAATGGGTTCAACTGCTGTGCTGACCTTTCGGTTAGCAGGCAAACGAATGCTTAACCGCTGCACCATCAGGGCTCCTTATGCAGAGCTTAATCAGTATATATTTGTTAGATGGGTGGGTGGGTTGAATGAGCAGGTATTTGAAGGGTATAAAAACTTAAGTGAGAATATATTATTTTATAATTAACAGATGAAAGACATATATCTTAACCAATGACACTATTTTCAAGTGAAGTCTTATTTTTTTCAAAATAATATTTACAGGATAAGCATATTATAAAAGATAATTTTTAAACAAATAAAAAAAACCACTGCCGTTGAGTCAGATCTGACTCACAGTGACCCCTCTTTGAGTTTCCGAGGCAGTATCACTACAGAAGCAGATTGCTCAGCCTTCCTTCTGAGGAGTGGCTGGTGGGTTTGAACTGCCAGCCTTCTGCTAACCAGCCACTCCTTGGAAGGAAGGTTAGGCAATCTACTTCTGTAGTGATACTGCCTCAGAAACCCAAGGAGGGGTCACTGTGAATCGGATCCATCTCGACGACAGTGGGTTTTGTTGTTGCTGTTTAAAAGTTATCTATTATAATACGCTTATCCTGTAAATATCATTTTGGAAAAAAACAAGACTTCACTTGAAAATAGTGACATGGGTTAAGATATATGTCTTTTATCTGTTCATTATAAAATAATTTTTAAACACTGGTTACTAAATGGCCAATTTATTAAATCTTCCTTTAATTCTTCATGAATTTTCTAATAATTATTTAAAATATAAAACTAAAATCAGTGAATATAATCAAATATGATTTTCTTTTTCTTTCTTGTGCCCCTCCTTCTCCCCATTTTTAATTTTTTTTTTTTTTTTTTGGCATTTAAAGATGTTTTCAGAATGTTAACTTTCAAATAGAAAGCACAGTTCCTCTTTATCATGAAATTGTACTGTGGAAGGCATTTAAGATAATAATAATCAGTTAGTTAGAGACAACTTTGAGACCACAGTTGGTCATCACTTTGACTTAAATTTGGCAGACCTGCTTGAAGCTGATAGGAAAAATTTTTCTGAGATTACAAACCATTTTAATTGAGGTAGGTTAAAGTGAAAATAATGTAATGGAAGATGTTGAACTAATGACCTGCAGGGTTGTTTTAGGAATAGAAATGAGAGTATCAACTTTGCATTCTTGAAAAAGTATGTAACAATGTTTTAAGAAGATATAAAACTCATATGTACACTATTGAATGAGCCTCAGCCTTAAGGCTGCAAAATATTTCAGCCTACACATTGCCTAATAATATTTTGATTTTTGGTATGTTATAGTTTCACTGTCTAAAAAATGCTTCTCTTCAAGCCACTAAAATTCTCTGCTTTATCTGTGTGTAATTATGTATATTAATTAGTGTACTTATGAAAAGTGTATAGTTATTAATAGTGTATTATATTGGATATGACTTACTCATTTATTTATTTTACTTATGCATTTATCTTTCCCTTTAGGTAAAGAGGACGAATATCCCAAGAAACCTTTGGGGCAGCTTCCACCTGAATCCCACTCTGCTGGTGTTAATCACCTAAGCAATGGACAAAGAAATGTTGGCAAGTCAAGTCCACATACAGGCAGCAGAAAAGAAAGTGGCACTTCTCCTCATAAAAGATATGAGCATTCCCCTCGCCATCAAAGTAGAATTGGTACACCAGAAAGAGTAAGGCAGCCAAGGCGGAAATCTGTGGATGAGGATAGTAAAAAGCTTAAGGGTGAGGTAGATATTCAAGGAAAAGTTCCATCAGTTCCCCAAGACAATTCCAAGCAATATGTTAATGCAGCTGCTAACCAAAACAGCAATGCTACTTCAGATGTCAGAAAGGAATTTGTGCCCAAATGGAATAAACCTTCAGATACTTCAGCTGTTGAAAAAACTGCCAAGTATGCCATTGAAGGCAAAAGTAGATCAGCAAACCCCACACTTAAAATCACCATCCCAAGTTCTACTGATATTCAAAGGTCAAATGCAAGGCAAAAGATTAAGGTTTTGGATGCTGATGAAGGGAAACGTGGTTCCAATGCATCACAGTATGATAACGTACCTGGAGCTGAAAATGATAATGGAGCTTCTGTTGAAGAGGCACTAGAAAGGGCTTACTCGCAAAACCCAAGGAATCCTGTTTATTCTAACAGTCCAAGAAAGCATGCTGAGCCAAGTTCTAGTCCATCAAAAATATCCAACCATTTTACTTTTAAAGTACAGCCTCCAAGTTATGTAAAATGTCCATCTCAGTTAGATGGAGACGATCATGGGACAATACATCCACCATCCTATAGTAATCCCCCTGTTTACCATGGAAATTCTCCAAAACACATCCCTACTGCTAACAGCAGCACTGTGTCTCCACAGTTTAACTGTGGAACTCAAATTAATCCTTCCAGGAGACCTTATAGTTCTTCTCTCTCAGTAAATACTTCTCCAGAAAAACCGTACAGCCGCCCAACTCCAATTGTATTACCATCTAGTCGAATAGAAGTCTTTCCTGTTGATATTGGTGCTGGGGGATATTCAGGGTCTCCAAAGAATGGAAAATTCATCATTCCTCCAGTGGATTATTTGCCAAATAACCGAAAATGGTCAGAAGTTAGTTACACATACAAAGCTGAGATGCGAGAACAGTCATGGAATCAAGATGCTAATCGCAGCCACTTAAGCAATTTACCAAAATATTCAGCCTTTCAGCATGTAACCTTTCAAGACCATAACCTCCCAGCAGTTTCAGTGGATAGTCCTGTGCGCTATAGAACTTCGCCAGATTTGGAAGACGCCAACTCATCTCGGTATCAATATTCAGGGCCCTCGCCTCCAGCATATCACTACAGAAATCGGGATGGACTTTCTGTTCAGGAATCAGTATTGCTGTGAGAATTTATCTATACTTAACTAAAGACACTAGAATAGAAAACATATGAAACCTACATTGCTATGTTTATAATTGCCAAAGCAGTATTTTATATGATTGTGAACAAATTCGCACAATTCTAACGTATGTTAGTAATAAGAATATATGGAAATATTTTCATGCCATGTAGATGCTGCTTAAGGTGAACATTTTAAATTGCATCATCACCGAACCTGTTAAAAAGAATTTAACATGGAAACATAGCAATAGCATTTAGGAATGCACGCACAATAATAATTCATTACTCAGTTTCATTTATATCTTTCTCCAGAACCTGACCATTTTTACTCTATTGGCCCATTCTATTTTGAGTAATGTGTTAAAAGCCCTGAAAAACTGTGTGTGTAGAATAGATATTTTTAAGGCTACATGTAGTATATGTGTCTTTTCATAGATAATTGTGGGCATCTATGCATACACATTTGAACACAGAACTAAGGAAATGTTTTCACAAATACTTTAAATCTTGATCAGTGGAACAATTTGCACTTCTTATTTTCCTTAGCTCACCCTTTAGTCAAGTTATTTACCCTCCCCCCTTGTATTTTTAATCCAGGCCCTAAAACTGACTGAAGAGATTTCCCTGGCTTTATTAGTTCAACATCTCACAGAATGCTCATTATTCTTGTTCATTTGCTGCCATTGTCTTTCAATCTGAAAATTAAAGGCATCTGAAGGAAAGGCTAACCACTTAATGGTGCTAAAAAATCTGGGCAGTTAAAGTAAGCTTATATGGTTGGAGGTGCAGCTCTCATTGTATCCATTTGCACCAGTTTAATTTTAGTGCTTTTGTGCCCTTTGTTGTGGTCTGCCTCTTGCAAAGCTCTGAGCAGAGTATTGGTTGCCAGATGCAAAAGAAATGCTGCCATACAGCTAGCTTTCCAATGAATGCCAGCAGGAGAAGTTGCAAGTTACTGATCATCAAGCACTCACGTGGGGCAGCAGAATAAACTCCTTTGAAACTCATTTGAAAGCAGGATTAACATTATGGTTACTTCTTACTTCTGCCCTTAAATTTTTGCAATGCCTCACACAGAAGGCCTCAGGGTGATCATTTACAGTATCTTTTTCTGGCAGTCTTTCTTTAAAGAATGTAGTCCGTGGATATTGCTGCACTTACCAGGCCATTAAGGCCATCACTGTATAAAACTATTAAAAAAAAAAAAAAAATCCTACCCAATGATTAATAGGAATCTAAGATTTTGATTTTTAAGAAAAGATAGCATGACTTTCATACCATTTCTGAAAACCCTATTTTCCCTTTTCAGTTTAAAAACAAAAAATGCAGGGTCATTGTATAACATTTTTAAATATCTTTAAAAGTATTCTGTTAAATTGCAGTTACCAAAACAGTGACAAAATTTGGGCCACTCCAAGAAAGTGTGGCTTTGTACTTAATTGGCGACCTTATTTTCAGCATTACTTTCCTCATATTTGAATAATACAGACTAGAAAAGCTAACATCCGTGGCTCTTGTTGCAATTTGGGGCTTTAAACGTTCAAGGTACAAAAGTTTGTCTTTTAAAATGAAAGTAACGTTTGTTTAGCTAGTGAATGTGACAATATTTCATATGTATATAATGAGTCTAATGTAATTTTAATCAACTTGCTAATGATGTGATTAAATGACAAAACAAATGCAGTGTATTAGCACCTAAGCACTACACTGAAGCTCAAAGTCCTGGTAATTATTATCACTGGGCTATTAGATCATGTGGAAGCATAGAAATAAATGTATATAAAATTGTAGTTGAGGATATTATTCCCGTTTTTAAAACCATAATTCTGTGATTTGTAATAAACCAAGCTGTACAATTTAGTTTGTGATAGCAGCGTCTGAGCTGCTTCAAAATATATATATCAACAGTGGTAAATACTGTAGATTTATATATGTATATACACACATACACACACACACACACACACATACTATTTTCTTATGTCATCTATGACATTTTTTATCTGTATACTTTTTTTTGATGTGATTGTTTTTAACATGCTAAAAGGAATAAGTATGTCTTGTTTTTTGTGTCTTTTATGTGCATTTTTTTCTTATGGCAAGTGTTGCATCTGATACTTCTAAGGCAGATTCGCTTCTCATTTAGTAGATATTGCCCACTGTCTACATATCACAGTTCTTTGTTACATGCTTTATTAATTTCCAGTAATGCCATATTTAGAACGACATCCCTTTTCCTGTATGTTTTTTTACTATGCCATTAGTAATAGCAATAAGATAATATTTCCAGCTTTCTTCATTATAAAATGTAGTTCTCTATTTTTTAATAAGGAAAGTTTAATTCAAAATTATTTTACCACCATATAATTTTTCTCTTTCAGATTTATCTTTTAATAATTCACAGAAGAAAAAATATTAGTAAAGTGGGTCAAAAACATATTTATGAAACATATTTGATAAAGATTTTTTATGGTATGAAGACTGATTTTACTGTTACTCTATATACATGGTATAAATATTTTGCCATTATGAATCTTTTCTTCATGGTGGTTTTGCTTAATATAACAAACACTTTGGTATAGTTTTTATTTATTTTCTTAAATTTAGTTTGAAAAGTTGAACTAGAGTCTCAAAGAGTTTAAAACTTTTGACTTTTAGGTGTTTCATGTTTTTTGTAGAATTTCATTTTTTTTAATGAGTCGCTTTTAAAATTGGGAGATATATAAAGGTTTAGATATCAAAGTATCAATGTCAGAATGTTTCTTGAAAGAATAAAGAAAGATTCACTCAAATAGGACATTGCTGGGGAAGAACAATAGATGTTTATAGGCTGTGATTGTTTTAACTTTTTCCATTTTAAGATCCTGATACTAAATTTTATGTTATACTCAGTGTAACTTTAAAATTGACTTTCAAAGTTGTAATAATTTCAGATCTCTCCCTTGGGTCCCATTACAATGCAAATACAAAAGTAGTGCATAGTTAATATTTATCTGAGATCTCTTTTCGTTTTCATAGTTAGAGAAAAATATGTCATGTACCAACTATATATTTATATATAGAGGACCTGCAACTCAGTGTTCTGGAAATATTACCATCAATTATCTTTGAGACTCATACCCTTATTTTAGTATGTATTTGATTATGGTTTATAAAGACTGTTGTATTTGAGAAGGGGGGGTTGGTATTTTCCTTTCGATGTCTATATCTAATGTGGCTAGCAATGATTATTGATCAGAATCCAAGCCCACTCAATTCCAACTCATAGCAACCCTCGTTAAGTTTCCAAGTTTACATTTCTGTAAATCTTTGTGGAAGTAGATTGCCTCATCTTCTTCCTGCAGAGCAGCTGGTGGGTTTGAACTGCTGCCTTTCTGATTAGCAGCCAAATGCCTTACCCACTACCCCACCAGAGCTCCTTATGCTTATTAAATGACCAGGAGGCTTTTATTAGTCAAACTTTGCTTTTAAGATGACCAAAGATACTGAGAAGAGGAGAAAGGAATCCATTTAACATTTATTTATTAATTTTACCTCCAGAGGCATTTTTCATCTATCCATAAGTCTGAGCATAACTGCCACCATTTTATAGAGGAGAAAACTGAGTAACAAAAGAACTAATTTAAGATTGCCTCACTATGAGTCAGATGTGACTCGACAGCAGTGCATTGCATTGCGTTAACTCTACCTTTGGGTAGAACCTGGACATCAGGTAATTGTATTATTTTTCCCCTTAAAGTGCAATCAGTTAGGCTCTCTTTTTTTTTTTTTTTTTTCCCCTAAAGGGAAAAAAAAGGCTTTCAGTTCTCTTATTTGGTATTCCCACTTGGGCTGTCTCAAAAATTCTTAGCAGATCAGAGATTCAGAGTTTAGAAGCTCTGATATCAGAAAGTTTGTAGGAAAACAAGGTCCTTACCCCCTGTCACGAAGAGCCAGTGGTCACAACAGGTTGAAGGGGAAAGCAAAAGGTTTACTGAATATCAATACCCAAGGAGACAGAATCATGTCTCTCAAGTCTCTCTCTCCGAACCAGGAATTGTTAGGGTTTTTTTTAAAAGGAATTGGGCTGGGGGGAAGGGGTGTAGGAGGATTTGAGGAATGCTGATAATGTTTCCTTCTTGTTATTGGGACAAGTTGTTGTTACTTGGTGACTTCTCTGTTCTTCTGGTCAGTGATAAAAACCATTCTTGGTCAGGAGAAGTGTCCTTCAGCTTCTCCACACCGGCCTAGAGAGATTAACTCTACAAGAGGGGAGAATATGGGGTGGGTGCCCTCAGGCCCCTCAGTCCACCAGGAATATCTCCGATTCTCCTTTATCTTGGGTGCCTTGCCAAGGCTCGGTGTTTCCTTTCTCAGGGTCAGCTTGTTGTAGGCTAGGGTTCTCAGCTGAACTTAGTCGTGGGAGAGGGTTATGCTTAAAATAGTATGTAATTGAAATAACAAATTTAAACAACTCGGTGCCTGTACTACTTACTTGAAAGAAAAGGAGGGAAAAACAGTGAGTTAGTCACTAAGATTAAAGTCCACTTTAATCATGCCTGTCAGCTTATGAAGGTTTTGTGGTTTTCAGTGAGCGGCCCCTTTAGCCTTCCATTTCAGTCTTCCTCAAAAGTTAGGGAGAACTCCACTGGAAATAGTAATGTTGCTAGCCATTTCTGTAAGGGTTGTTTTTTTTTGGTTTGTTTTGTTTTTTTTTGGTTTTTTAATGTTTATAAAGAGTATTTCTGTAAGTTTTGATGAGGTAATAGTCATAGGCAGTATAAATTGCTTCAAATGAAAGGTGTCATGACCCTGTACTTGATCTCATTTGCTGCTTACGGTAGTCCTTCAGTATTGGTAGAACCATATTACACTTCCATTTTTCCTAGACAACTTCTGTCTTTCATTTACCTTAAGTGACATGCTAAAAAAAAAAAAAGCCTAAACTGTTTGGAAGCCTAAGTGAGTTTTCAGTATGTGAGGAGCTGAGAAAATGTTGAATAGTCTGGCTGTTGGTTTCAGCAG